CGGATCCATAAGCAAAGCTTTATTTAAAGCAGAGGAGGTCAGAAACACAGGCAGGGTCGAAACAGTGGCAAACAGGTATATGGCGGGCAAGACACAAGAATAATCCTAGGGCTAGCGTGGGTCGACGATTGGCAGACAGAGTCTGCAAGGCAAGGCAAAACTAGGCTAGGAGGCTAACGGGGCCGAGTATTGTTTAGCACTTATCGTCGGATAGCTACACTACAGAGCCCCGTTAGCCTCCTAGCCTAGTTTTGCCTTGCCTTGTCTGTTTTCTCCGGTTTTGATCTTCGCCTGTTTTCCTGGATTTCTCCCTTTAGCCTTACCCCTGTGACTCTGTCTGCCAATATACAGCCCCGGCTGTTTCTGACCTCCTCTGCTTTAAATAAAGCTTTGCTTATGGATCCGCACGTCTCACGTCTTGTCAGCCCCGTTGCAATAATATAATGAGCTACAGCAATAATAGCTCCTCATTTTATTATAATTCTACTTTCATTGTCTCCTCACAGATCAACTTCCACTGCAAACCCACCTTCAGAGAGAGCGGCTCTCGTTGCCTTCGAGATGTGAGTCCACCTCATCGCCACACAACTTTAAATCATATTTCACACTGAAGTTTTACACATATACTTATTGTACTCCATGTGCTATGGCAGAATGAACCCTTGTTGGCACGTTTACATGTGACCCGTTGTGTCTGTTTGCGACAGCAGAACGTTTTGAGACATCACTGGGTCCATCGCCGGCGACAAGAGGGGAAGTGTCGTCAGTGCGGAAAAGTATGTCACGCCTTCAAGGTTTATTGAAGGAGTCATATGCAAAAGTCTTGTACGTTCATGCTAACTTTCACTTTCATTGTAGAGTTTCCCGCAGAAGTTCTTCCACAGCAAGGAGATTGTGGCCATCAGCTGCTCCTGGTGCAAGCAGGCAGTGAGTGGCACGTCTCACAAAATCTTGCTGGTTTATGTAATGCAGAATTGTTCCATCTCTTTCTCTGTTTATTTTTCTGTCCCATCAGTTCCATAACAAGGTCACGTGCTTCATGCTACATCAGATCGAGGAGCCCTGCTCGCTAGGAGCTCACGCCGGGGTCATCGTACCCCCTTCCTGGATCATCAAAGTCAGGAAACCGCAGGTACGCTCACCTCAGATGGTTTGAGGGTGAAACTTTTTTTTATCAGCACGTAAGAGAAGACCTGAGCCTGAGGTTTATGTAATGTCCTGCAGGAGATGCTCATGCAAGGTGACACTAGACTGTGTTTTAAAGCTGGGGCTGTATGATCTTGTCTTCTGCACTCAGTTATGCTGATCAGCTTCGGCTTAAATACACTTTGATGCTGCCAGATTTGATATCAGTTACAGTGTGTTTCATAAAACTCATCTACATATTTTATATGGAGCTTCTTTCATTGTTTTATACACTGCAAAAATGATTTCTGACTCAGTATTTTTGTCTTGTTTTATATATATATATATATATATATATAAATAAATAATCAAAATTAAATAATCTTATGCTGGGGGGAATTCAAATGGCAAGCAAATTTATTTTTCTTATCACATTAGCAACTATTTTTTCTTATTGTAAGCAAAAATGTACTTCATTTTGATAATGTTTTCAGAAAGCAAGACTTAATATCTTGTGCAATTTTGCTTCTCAAGTAAATGTGTCTTGATTTAAGAATGTTTAGATGTTTGTACTGGAAAATATGGAAGCTTGTTTCCACCATGGGATGAAAAAAATAAAGATAACTGCAACATTTTTCTCCCAATTCTGATTTTTCTCAGAATTGCAAGAAGAAAAGTCAGAATGGCTAAATATAAATTCAGAATTGCGAGATATAAACTTAAAATTGCAAGAGAGAAAAAGTCAAAATTATGAGATAGTTGCACCTTTTTTATTTTTTTATTTCATTGTGGGGAAAAAAAAAACAGAATTGCAAGATATAAAATCTAAATTCTGAGAAATTGCCAAATTATCGAAATTGCTGTAAGCTCATACAGTATTTCAGAGAGGTAAACTTGAAATTGCAACAAAAAAGTCATCATTTAAAATTTTTGAGAAAAAGAGTCAGAATTGGTTCTGTATGAAAACAAGACAAAAGTTAAAAAAAACTTTTTTGCAATGTACACTTTTAACATCACAGTTTATCTGTTGCCTTAAAAGCCAGAATTGATTTCAAAAGCTGACCCATCACATCAACAGTCATAGCAGATATTTAGACCACACCCACTGATGACACGCTCAGCTATGATTGGTGGATTTATGCATTGATGGGGTAGGTTTTTGTGATAAGGCATTTTACTGCCGCTTTCAATTCAGGAGTTGCTGAAAGGGAAGTTGCTTGTATTCAAAGTGTTTTTGGAATAGTTTAACCAAGGAAAATCTTGTAATTATTTTGTAATTATCTTCATGTCATTCTGAACCACTATGACTTTTTATTCTGCAAAATAAAGATGTTTTGCAGCATGTTCACACTGCTCTTTTCCTTACAATGGGAATGAGTTAAGAAGCAGAGGAAGATTTTAAAGAAATAAATTATATTTTTGGTCTTTTCCTCATTGTATGACTTCAGAAGACTTGGAATGCTATGAACAAGTCCTGTTAACTTTTAAGATGTTTTATGGATCCTTTTTGGACTTGGAAAGCTGTCAGTCTTTGCCTTTGTTGGTAGAAAAGAAAGTGTATTCATCAACAGGTTTAGAGCAACATGAGGGTGGATAAGTGATTAAAAAGTTTTTTAATTTAAAAACGAACACTTCTATCATTATTGGGCAAACTTTAATTTAACATAGTCCTGCTGGAGTTAGTTTTGTTATGTTTTGGCTTAGTTGGCGTCTCTCTCCTGTGTCCCAGAGCTCATTTAAAAACTCCATTCGAAGGAAAAAACGGACGTCGTTCAAAAGAAGAGCCAGCAAAAAGGGGATGGATGTGAGTAGATCTGATTCCTGTCCTGTCCCTCCTTTTAAATGATGCTATAGTGTTTTCTGAGGGCTTTCTCTTCCCTTAACTCCTGCTCATGATCATCTGTCCCCACAGCTTACTGCAGTGATGTGTATTTGTGTGCAAATGTGCATTTATCGAAGAATAATGAAGTGATTTTTGCAGGAATCAAAATGGCGTCCGTTCATGCTGAAGCCGCTGCCCTCACCGCTGATGAAGCCAGTGCTGGTGTTCGTCAACCCCAAGAGTGGAGGAAACCAGGTGATGCTCTGAATAAAGAGACTAATGGAGGAATAATGTACAGTCATTCTAGAACAACAATCTCTGAAAGGGCCATAATGACCGAACAGCTCTACATTAAACGGCTTAATATGCAACTACTTAGCATGAATATTTAATTAAAACATAAATGGATGCATTACATAAACAATTTCAGACGAAATCAATATTTCATGTCCATTTATTTTATTGTGTGGGAAGAGAGATCTGTGACTATCAGTCTGTTGTCCTGTCTGTGGTTCTGTCTACCATCTGTTGTTCTGTCTGTGTCTATCCATCCATCCATCCATCCATCTACGTATATATTTATCTGTCTGTCTGTCTGTCTATCTGTCTGTCTGTCTGTTGTTCTGTCTAACATTATGTCTATCTGCTATTCTATCTAACATTCTGTCTGTCGGTCAGTCTATCTACCACTCTGTCGTTCTGTCTTGTCATTTTGTCACTCTGTCTGACATTCTGCCTGTCTGTCGTTCTATCTGTCACTCTATCACTCTGTCTAATGTTCTGTCTGTCTGTTGTTCGCTGTCTGTCGTTCTATCTATCACTCTGTCATTCTGTTTATCATGCTGTTGTTCTATCTGTCTGTCGTCTATCACTCTGTCTGTCATTCTGTCTGTCTGTCTGTCTATCTATCTATCTGTCTGTCTGTCGTTCTGTCTATCGTTCTGTCTGTCGTTCTGTCTATCACTGTCATTCTGTTTATCATGCTGTCATTCTGTCTGTCTATCTGTATTTCTATCTGTCTGTCGTTCTGTCTATCATTCTGTCTGTTGTTCTGTCTATCTGTCTGTCTGTCTGTCTGTCTGTTGTTCTGTCTAACATTATGTCTATCTGCTATTCTATCTAACATTCTGTCTGTCGGTCAGTCTATCTACCACTCTGTCATTCTGTCTTGTCATTTTGTCACTCTGTCTGACATTCTGCCTGTCTGTCGTTCTATCTGTCACTCTATCACTCTGTCTAATGTTCTGTCTGTCTGTTGTTCTCTGTCTGTCGTTCTATCTATCACTCTGTCATTCTGTTTATCATGCTGTTGTTCTATCTGTCTGTCGTCTATCACTCTGTCTGTCATTCTATCTGTCTGTCTGTCTGTCTGTCTGTCTGTCTGTCGTTCTGTCTATCGTTCTGTCTGTCGTTCTATCTATCTCTCTGTCATTCTGTTTATCATGCTGTTGTTCTATCTGTCTGTCGTCTATCACTCTGTCTGTCATTCTATCTGTCTGTCTGTCTGTCTGTCTGTCTGTCTGTCTGTCTATCTGTCTGTCGTTCTGTCTATCGTTCTGTCTGTCGTTCTATCTATCACTCTGTCATTCTGTTTATCATGCTGTCATTCTGTCTGTCTATCTGTATTTCTATCTGTCTGTCGTTCTGTCTATCATTCTGTCTGTTGTTCTGTCTATCTGTCTGTCTGTCTGTCTGTCTGT